CAGGTGCTGCGCGACGCCTGGCGCCGCCGGGCGCTGCGCCCGCCGCGAGGCTTCCGCATCAGGGCTGTAGGTGAGTGCGCCCGGCTGGGGGACGCCCGCGAGGGGAGCGGGAGCTGGGACTAGGGGCCCAGATGGTGCCCGGAGGAGGCCGGCCTCCCTGTTAGGATCCCGGCGCTGCAGCCCCGGGGTGTGCTGGACCGACGCCAGGGTAGACAGGATGCCGCCACTCCTCTACTCTAATGTCCCAAGAGCCACAGGTGCCTGGCCTAAGGAGAGCCATGCTCTGCGCAGAGAGGCTTTGCTCGGGTTACTGGAGCTGGTCACAAGACAGGGCCCTTTCGAGGCTGTGGGGTGCCGAGGATAGCCCCCCCAAGAGGATGACCAGCGTCTGCCGAGTCAGACCAGTGCTTTCTCAGCGCCGCTGTCCGTCCCTGTCGTTGTCTCGCTGTCTCTGTCTCTGTCTCTCAAACTTGGAGTGGGTGCCGCACTGTGGTTTCATACCTTGCTGTACTACTGGGTAGTATGGTGGTCTTGGTTCAGGACCTAGGAGAAAGTTGGGGATATTTGCCACAACAAAACAAACAAGCGGTGCTCAGGACACATCCTGACCACTTAGCTGAATACAGACGTTTCCACCTTCCCTGTCTTCAGACTAACCGCTTTGTTAGGAGACGGCATAACATAGCTTCTGTTGGAGAAACTCAGCCGCCGCCCCTGCCAGTGCTCAGTGATCTCAGGCCCCAGTGGCAGCGTCCAGTGACAGCCTCCTTCTGTCTGCATTTTGTGGGGTTGGGGAGCCAGTTAATGGTGTATTGTTGACAGTTCACCAGTTGTTCCAGCCCTGTGTTTGGACTCCCACGAGGAATCCCTCTATCTCGGCCCATAAAATCTGCCTCCTTCTGAGGAGGAACAACAAATAACCATTTTCTTTAGTCTGTAAGGGCAAGGGAATAGGCAGCAGGAGGCACCTGATGCCATGTGTCATCCGTCCAGATAGGGTGATGTCACCACGGCCCAGGCCAGGGCCGCTGAGATTTGGCTGCTCATTCCCATATCATCTGTCCCTGCCTCGCCTCTGTCCTCACTTTTCTTTCCTTAAGAAAGGGGAAAAAGAGGGGCTGGGGATTTAGCTCAGCGG